CCAGAACTGGACACAGCACTCCAGGTCAGGCCTCACCAGGGCTGAGCAGAGGGGCAGGATCCCCTCCCTTGACTTGCTGGCCATGCTCTTCCTAAGGCAGCCCAGGATCCTATTGGCCTTCTTGGCCACCAGGGCACTGCTGGCTCAGGGACAGTTTGGTGTCCACCAGCACCCCCAGGTCCTTCTCCACAGAGCTGCTTCCCAGCAGCTCAGCCCCAGCCTGTGCTGGTGCCTGGGGTTATTCCTGCCAGGGGCAGGACCCTGCACTTGCTGCTGTTGATTTCAGACAGTTCTTCTCTGCCCATCTCTCCAGCCTGCTGAGGTCCTTCTGCGGGGCTGCACAGCCCTCTGGGGTGTCAGTCACTCTTCCCAGCTTTGTGTCCCCAGTGAACTTGCTGAGGAGGCATCTCCCCTTCATCCAAGAATGTGAATTAAGATAAAGAATTATGGACCAAATTGTGAACCTTGGGGAATGCCACTAGTAACAAGCTCACAAACACACCCTGTGCCACTGATTATAACCCTCTGGGACCTCCTGTTTAGCTAGTTCTCAATACTCAATCCACTTCACTGTGTATCCAGTCCATGCTTCCTGAGTTTGCCTATGAGGATGCTGTGAGGGACAGTCTCAAAAGCCTTGCTGAAGTCAAGGTAGACAACATCCACTGCTCTTCCCTCATCCATCCAGACAGTTGTTTCATCATAGAAGACAGTCAGGCTGGTCAAGTATGAACCTTCAGTGAATCCATGCTGAATAGTTCTGACTACTTATTTGTCATGCATGTGGATAGAGATGGCCTCCAGGATCAGGTGCTCCATCGTCTTCCAGGGTGCAATGTGAGGCTGACTGTCCAATAATTCCCTGGGTCCTCCTTCTCGCCTTTCTGAAGGCAGGGGTGAAATTTGCTTTCTTACAATCCTCAGGAACTTCTACTAATCAATACAACCTTTCAAAGATGATCATGAGCAGCCTAGCTACTGCATCTGCCAGCTCTCTCAGCACTTGTGGATACATCCCATCAGGATTTGTGGACGTCAATTATGTCTAAGTGTTCTCTAATCCAATCTTTCTTGACCAAGGGTGTCTTCTTTCCAGCATTCCTTTACTCTGCTCTCCTGGGTTGGAGATTTCTGAGGGTTGGTCTTGTTAGTAAAGCCCAACACAAAGAAGGTGTTCAGTAACTCTCTGTGTTCTGTTACCAGCATTCTCCACATTACCCTTAGTTTTTCTTCTGAAGTTACTGAAGTTTCTTCTTGTTGTCCTTGATATCCTTGACCAGATTTAATTCCAGATGGCCCTTTTTCTTTATTTTGTCATTTTTGCTTGCTCTGACAACCTATCTGCATTCATTCCAAGCAGCCTGACCCTGCTTCCCTCTTCTATGTATTTCTTGCTTACACTTGAGTAATGTCATTACTTCATTCTTTATTTATCCTTGCAGGTCTTTTGCTCCCTTTACCCAGTTTCTTGCCCATTAGGGTGCATCATTCTTGAGCTTGGAAGAAGTGATCCTCAAATATCAATCAGCTCTCTTGGACCCCTCTTCCCTGCATCACCTGTTCTCACAGGATCCTCCCAGCAAGGTCCCTGAAGAGGCATTAAAGTCAGCTCTCCTAAAATCCATGGTTGCAACCTTACCTGTTGCCCTGCTTCATCCTCACCCAATACTGAACTCCCCAGTCTCATGGCCACTTCAGCCAAGACTGTCCTCCACCTTCCCATCTCCAATGAGGCCTTCTCTGGTTGTTAGCATAAGGTCAAGCAGCACACCATTCCTTGTGGGATCCTCCCCAACCTGGGACAGGAAGTTGTCATCAGTGCTTCTCACGAACCTCCTGGACTGTGCTTCATGGTGTTGCTTCTCCAGCATATACAAGACTAGTTAAAGCCCCTAAAAGTATCAGTGGTTGTGACTTTGAGACTGCTTCTGGCTGACTGCAGCAGGCCTCATCCACTTCCTCATTTTGAGTGAGGTTAAGCATTTTGGTTAAGCAGAGTAAGAACTGAACTAATTAGAGTATTTAGAAACTCAGGCTTTTTGTCCTATAACAGTTGCATGATATAGGGAGATCACCTCTGGGAAACCAAAATCATTCCCGGTCTCAAAACAACACCAATACCAAATTTTATGTTTCTGCTCCATACTATTATATATGAAATGGACAAACTTGAATTTTTAAACTTGCTTTATTCTTGACATATGTAATATATTCCCAAATCTTATCTGTCTCTCACAGATGAAGCATGACCATTTCAGCATAATTTTCTATCAGCATATGAGCATAGATTGTTTTTATGACCAATTAGGAAATTTTAATGAGTGATTTTCAAGATTTGGAACAAAGTTCACTGAAACAAAATCATAATTTTAGAGACGTGCTTATGGCAATACATTATGAAGAACCTGGAGTTTGTGCAAAGAAAATCTCAGCCAATCTACCAACAGAGAATTGCACTAATTCAGTCTGAATTCAATAAAAGCATGACCAACCATTTTCAAAGGACTGAGATGGAAAAAATTCTGCACTAGCAATGCCAAGTTGCTGCCTCCCCTAATATGATACAGAGTACTGACATAAGCCAAGTGATAAATTCTCAAACTATAACATGACAGAATTAAGACTTATTATGTAGCTAGTGTTTTTCTTGCATCTACTATGTAATTCAAGAATTACCACCAGAAAATGCCGTGACCATTTCAGCTAATTACAGAGCTGCAACTATAAAAATAGTCTTAATTTCTGTAAAAAATCTCAAAGCTTTTTAAATGCTAACTTCCTTCAGGACTATTGTAATTGTCAATAAAATTACTATAGCTTTTCTAATCCAAACAGCTGAATATTAACAGATTGCATATTTACAGTGTTTTGTATTCAGCTATGTTGTTCAGTTGTGATTGGTAAAATAAGTCTCCCAACAGTGTATTTGGACTGCCTCTGAGAAAATTGTTCAAGCACTTTTCATTAAATTTACTTTGGCTTATGATTTACCTTTCTTTTCTCAGAACTCTTGTATATAAATATTTAATTACTTTATATTAACTTGTTATATAAGTATAATCCACATTTTTAAACTCCACGGACTATTACAATAATCATTCCTCTTCTAATGAGAATTACAAGCATATCAATACACACTCTGCCTTAGAGAAAATTACTTATGGCCATTTATTGAAAATATTGAATTTCTGAATATTACTCACAATTAAAATTGCCCTATATATCAGGCTGATATTAAGTCTTACAGAGTATAAATGTCCATAAAATTACTCTAGCTTATTACACATGTGGTAATTAGACTGTGTATCATATAAACAGGTGCCATTTCTAGGGATACCAAGTACACAACCATACCTATTCAAGCCATAAGGATCTTCATCTTATCAGTTCAAGTTAGGTCTAAGTTAAATTGAACAGCCATATTAATTCAAAATTTATATGAGCATTTACATTAGATTTTCAAATATAATTAGAAAGTTATATAAGGACTGCTAAGTCAAAATAAAGCATTTCAGCCCATTCCTGACATTGCCCATTTGTGAATAATTCAGAAAAAGAAAGTAATAGAACAGAGAAAATCTGCTGTAATAGTCTCAAAAATCTTTCACTTTCTGCAAAACTACAAATATGGGATTTTGAAATCCCATTGTATTTGAACAGTTGAATGTAGTAACTACAAATCAGTTGTAGAAAACAGCATTTTATAAAAATTAATTTGGATAACTAATAAGATAAAGATGGAAAAAAAGTAAAAAAGTGAACAGAATTTCATTCAATAAAGAATTCCAACTTCTACTTTTTAAGACAATGTTTTTTAAAAAACAAATCTTTTTCCTCACTTCTCAATGACTGAAAACCAAGAAGCCTAAAATTTTCTGTCATAAAATGACCTGTGCTGTATTGAATGCTCCTTGGTGTAATACAAATTTAGATATGTATTGCTGTGTGCTTTAGAGGAAGTAGCCATTCTCACTTCTACTTTTATGCATATTCCTATTTATTCACCTCTTTGTTTACTTGTTTTACTTTCAAGTTTTGTTGTCAATTTTATACAGTTTTAAATAGGCAATTTAATATCCAAATGTAAGACTTTTGTCACAAGTTGCTAATCAAATGCTTTTTCTCAACTGGAGCATAGACACTGTGCATGTATTAATCTTACTTGTGTTGCAGCGAATGAAAATGTGCTGGAGATGCTTTAATTAACTTTTGTAACAAGATTCCGAAAATATTAGACATGATCTCTTGAGAAAATGTAGAAACCAATTATGGGACTAAGTCTTCCAAATATTCCCAAGATAAAGGAGTCTAAATCAGAAAAAAAAAATCAATAAAAATGCAATTTAAAAAATCTGCTTTCATCATCTACTTTTGATTAATTTAAGTTCAAGAGCTCTTCTAGAAATGTGCAGTTTAATTATTTGCATTCATCTACTGGATATGAGAAAAGGAATATATTTACTTTAATCAATTACAAAGAGATATTCCTCTCTAGATAAAGCAGTCCTAGAAGCCCAAGCTCGATTAAGAGCAGGTATTAGCCCAGATAGAGGTAGAGAAGATTGTGATCACTCAGACTATTAGATGGTCTAACCAGCTTTAACAAAGAAAACCGTTCAAAAATTGCGTTAAGTGGTTTAATAAAGAATTAAAATTTAAAAATAGGGCAAGGGCATGTTGTTCAATGCTATTTCAACTAGTGCACTATTCTGCCAAGTCCAGTAAATTGCTTAGGTTCAGAGTACCTCAACTTGACCACAGGATGTGTTTTTAATGGTCCTCTCCCCGTCGGTGCATGGTGTGATGAGTGACTGGACATCCCAACTGGTTTTGCAGAGTTCATGCGGACGGGACGCTGGTAGTCCTGCTGACTGAAAAGCAGCGAGACTTGGGTAGTCCTGTCTTCCTCCCAGGAAATCATCTCAGCTTCTAGATCGAGCATGTGGCGGTCACTTCTGCTCCCCCAAGCAGTCAGGTTCCACGGCCGGACTCGGAGCCAGGTTCCACGGCCGGACTCGGAGCGTGAGCGCAGCCCTCTCCCGAGGGAGGATGAGGGTCCGCAGTGTCTGGGATGAGGGCCCGCAGCGGCTGGGACGAGGGCCTGCAGTGTCTGGGATGAGGGCCCGCAGCGGCTGGGACGAGGGCCTGCAGTGTCTGGGGTGAGGGCTCGCAGCGGCTGGGACGAGGGCCTGCAGTGTCTGGGGTGAGGGCCCGCAGTGTCTGGGATGAGGGCCCGCAGTGTCTGGGACGAGGGCCGCTCCCTCCGGGCTCCGCCGCCACCGGCAGGGGTCGGCCCAGGAGCGCTCGGAAGGCCAACACTGCCAGGGACAGGTGCAGATGGGTCCCCAGAAAAGTGCTTGAGAAGAATATGCCTACATAGATGTGCCTAGCTTCGCCACGTGTCCGTGCTGTTACAGCGCTGCTCCCGGCCTGGCCAGTCCTAGAGGCAGGGAGAAGTCGGAGGCGCAGCAGCAGCGCTCTGGGTGCAGTGCACCGCGGCTTCACAGGAGGGAGCCTGACCTGCCATCTACAACTGTCTAATAACTGAAATAACCCAAAAAAACAACCAGTTCCTTGTTACTTTACTTTTGTAAGCATAGTTAAATGCCACCTGCCCCACTTGTTGCCTCAGGGAACAGAGGGAAGCAAATGTGGAGTAGCTGATACTGTACTGCCACACTAACCTCAAATTTGCTTCTGTCTCCTGAGCCCTGCACAGACAGGTTTGAAAACACGGCATACTGAAATAAGAAATTGGTGGAAAATAAGATTTAGCCTTCAAAATGGCACAAAATTTTACCTAGTCTCTAATGAATCAACTCTGCAGCCAAAGTTATGGCTTTTGCGGATGAAATAAAGGCAGCTGCTGCAATTTGCAACAACGGCAAGATACTGCAAAGGTAAAGCTGACCACATACTACGGGTGCAGGACTTGCCTTTTTCTCCCCTCAGCAATTAATTGTCTGTATTCTTTTCTTTTAGCACACTGGGTATGCCAATGGAAAGTTATTAAGTTTGAAGGAGAGATGTCCAAACAACTCTAAAATATGCAAAGAAAGCTCAATCAAAATATAAAATCATCTTCTCACCCCTCAACTCAAATTATAGTAAGCCTTACCATATTTTCATGCAGTAGGAGTGTAACTGAGTGACTTGGATCGAGGAACTAATTTTATAGCTTTGTGCTTACCTTTACAGCTCCTCAGTACTTTAGCTAGCAGGTACTGAAGTTTCATGTAGTTCTGAAAACCATTATGGAGTTAATTTGGTGGTTTTCTTTAATTATGTGTGAGTCGTTATGCTGTATAGTTTTGGAAGAATGTTAAAATAAGTATCTTTTTTGCCCTAGAGAGTGTTTCCAATAAATACTTCAGATAAAAATAATTTTTAAAAAAAGTATCCCAAGTGTAAACTAAATATGACTTCACAAAGGAAGGGAGCTACAGTGAAATTCACAAAACCTTTGATTAATGTTATTAGTGCCTTTTCAAAAAAAGATCAACCCCTATTGTGTCCAGCTGTCCTAGCAAAGTCTTAAAAAACAAAATAATTATTTTGGGTTACCATTTAAAGTATGATCAGTGTTTAAAAACTTGCTGTGAAAGGACAATAAGAGTAGAGAAAGGAGAATCAACAGTTTTCTTCATGAGCAAAAATAAAACTAACAATAAATAAGGATAATGCTTTGCATAGATGTTACACAGTAATTGTTCTTGAGTTAATGAAAGTCATGGCTAAATATTGTAAACTGTCATGTTGGATTTACTTCAGCTTGCTGTCAAAGAAAGTGCCACACAGTATTGGTCCTAATGTTTTTAATTTTTCCATTTTCAAAAGTGTATGTTCAAAAGAGTTGTATTCACACAAATGTGGACACTATTTCATTGCTTCTTGACCTGAATGTACATATATCTTTACATTTACAAACATCATGGAATTTTTGGCACATTCTTATAGTTAAACGTGTGAGTTCATGTATATCTGACCCTGTGAATCTGAGCATTAAGATCCCTGTGACATTTTGTCTTTTTTTTTTAATAGCTAGTATTTGCTGGCATTTTTGATTGACCCGATGCTAGATTTATACCTATTTCAGTCTTAGCATGATCACGTTTTTTTAGTCAAGGGGCAAAGATTAATTTCTCTTTCATTTCTGCATTTCTAGATCAATATTTATATTTTATGAGAATTTCAAACTTATTTTTATAGAAGATTAAAGTTTTTGCCCTTTTTATAGCAGAAATATCCTTCCTCTGAATCTAAAAACAACTCAAAAAAATCTGCTGTATCACCATTAAATTACTTTTTTGGACTAAAATATTTTAAATATATTATCAGTTATTTTAGCATTCTTAGGTTGACATCCTAGTTTTTTCCAAAAGATATATGAACAAGTGTTTTTTAAAAATACTTTCTTGGTTACCATTCTGTCTTTTAGAATTGTGTTAAAAATACAAGTACATATCTATTTGTAGGATTTGTAGCTCTGTGGCCAGTTGCACTGAAATTTTCATAGCTTAGAGACATGCTGAGTAAGTTTTTCAAAAGACGAGTATTATTACTTTAACATAACTTTATCCTACCTGTTAAGAAATTCCATTTTACCCTAACAAATTGGGGAAATGTAGCTAGTTGTGTGTCACCGTATCTGACTCTATATATGGTTGTGTTTCTCTGTTTTGCTTTCTCTCAAATTCCTTACCCACCTTAATTTATGGAAGTTGTCAACTTTGAGCTCAGAATGCTGATATGTAGCAGTAGTTGACAGAGCATTATTCAAGCAGAATTGCTTCTCTTTAGCTTCTAGACATTGCAGAAGACAATAACACCACCTGCCTAGTACTGCTTTTGTCACATGTCTAAGTTCTTCCAAGGTCATGAATCATTAGAATATTTAAAAGAATAAGATACCTAATTTCTACCAACAGTAGAAAATTTATTAACAAACCTTTCTGACAATGAATGAAGGAATTCAATAATATTTACATCTCTCTAGCTTTAGTTGTGTCACATACCCTGTCCAATAGATCACTTGAGTAAGAGACACTGGTAGAATACCATCTTTCTAACAGGTTTATGGGCTGAGCAGCATACCATCTGCACTTGTTTCCTGCTTGGGCTATGGTTGAGCTTATGCAGTTAGTTTTAATCCATAAATCCTAAATTACTAAGTCCTAGGTATTTGTGGTCACCTCTTGCTTGGTGCTACTAGAATTATATCCATAGTATTTGATATATTAGATGCCTATTGGAAGGTTTTTTCACTTTGCATAATTTACTGGTACAACTTTTCTTTTTAATTATAGGAGAAGTATAAAAAAGGTAAAAAACACAGATTAGAATATACTTCTGCATTAAAAATTATTAAAAGACATTGCAGATGAAGTTATACTTCTCATTTCAAATTAACAAAATAAAGCAATTACACTTGAATTTGAATAAGCATATGCAAATCTTAAATTACATAGAAGTTACTATTACAGCCATTTAAATAACTTTTTTTGATATCTTACATTATCTTAATTTGATTTAATTTACATTTATTCTATAAATAATTTGATTGATGGCTTTAACCTGGTTTGTCATCAAATAAGCATGTTTGGTTTTGGTTTTTTCCTTTTTTTCCTGGACCTGTTTCTCTTTCTTAATACATATAGGTACTATCAAAACTGCATTTAAATTATCTTGACAATATTTTTCTGTCAAAATGTCACATTAAAAACATTATTTTCCCTTTACCACAACTCCCAGAAATCTGACACTGGGTAATTAATTTTATACTGACATTATAGATCTTTCAACAGTTTTCTTTTAAAAGTTTTGGTAAAATATCAAGCAGGCTGGAAGTGGTTTCTAATGGGAAAACATAAAAAATGCACATTTATTTAACATTTATAATAAATTTGGAAAATGATATTAAATTTCATATTAATATTAATGAACATACTGAATTAGGATGAATATGAAATTAAAACACTGTCAGAAATAGGGTCAGTGTAACATCTGATGTGGAAAAGTGTAAAAACATTCTTTGTGGTTTGAAAGTGGCTTGGTAATTTATGAAGTTAAAATCTAACAATAATTTGTAGTTCAGTGAAACTACAAAATAACTTGATCTGAAGCTTCATAACTATGAAAACATCATGTCACAAAGCAGCTATAAAGTGTATTTTTCTTTTTTCTTTCCTGAATCTAAATACCAGTGCTTAGCATCATTTCCAGAACCGTGTGTCAATTCAACCTTCAAATGTGCTTCCTTAAGCCCCAATTCAGCTTCACATGTTCAAGCTCATCTTTTGCTCCAGATTTTTTTAGTCACAAATATTTATCAGTTTTGCATACATCTCTTTGAAGCAGGTGTATTCTTGTTTGAGTAGTTCTATTGCAGGTCTTCCACAGTAAATCTGAAGGTAATACAATTCCTGAGAACTAGTTCTGTGACATTGAAAACTTTCATTTTGAATTCTTTTACTTCTTACATTGTCTTAGCTGTTCTTCTGATCAAGTATATAACCCAAACTTGAATTACCTTACTGTCTCCTGAAAGTGTGTGGGGAAACCGCATTTTCGCACTTCTTAGTTTTATCAAGCTGCTGTCTCTATTTCAGTGTATGTTTAAATTTGGAGGGGTTTTTTTTGGAGGTCATTATTTGTAATTGTACTTCAACTGAAAGGGTTTTCAATAGTAATTAGAGCAACTGAGCACCACAAATTTAAAATCGGTTGTGCTGCTTCTCCTGACACTGTCTTTAAGCAGCTAGACAGAATTTCTTGAAGGTCATTTGTCTACTCCAAGCAGTAGCTCACTTTCTAGGTGGTTGGTTTACTGCACTGAGCTGAGTCTGCAAGGTGTAATTAGTTTTAAAATACTTCACAGCTACCTTGGTAACTGCTTTCTTTGGCTGATGCCTGACTATCTTTCAGGGGAAGTCTAACTCTCCCTAGAACATAAAAGCAGTGAATGGCATTTCAGCAATCTTTCTTGCCTGCTCCTCTGCCATGTGCCATTCTCACAGTAAGATGTGAGGGTCTTATTTATCCAGACAGTCTAATTCCATGCAGAACTTCCTTGTAAAAAAGATCTTTCTTTCAAATACTGTGGTGTCTTATGTCTGTATAATGTGCTTACAGAAATAACCACTTTTGGTATCCTGCTTCTGCTATGAGTATTTGAATATTTTGTCCCAGAGGCAAACTTGCAAAATTTTCTAAGAGTTTCAAACTGCAACTATGAAATCAATATATGAAAATATTTTGAAAAATGCATGAAAAAGTTTTTTGTTCATGCAAAAGAAGAAAAATACATTCAAAACTTCAATAGCTTATTGTATTCTTCTAAATCTTCTTGTACTTTTAGGGGCAGGGGGCACATTTCAATTTGTTTATTAATCTAGGAATCTTGTACATAGATCTAACCCTTGCATTTCCTGTCAAGTAGACTTTAGAGAAAACAAGCTACTATGTGGCAGTTTTTAATAAAAGATGAGTTTTGTATCTCTGTAACTACTACTGTCTTCCACTCATTTTATGACATATACAGTTTTGACGTGTTTGTGCTTTATGCTGGAAAGTGACTCTGGATAAGAAGTTAGATTGCTGTTATTACACATACTGGTTTTAAATCCTATGTTCAGGGGCCAAATTGGATATTAGGACCATTAAGTTGAATGTCTTTGCCCAAAATTTTGCTATTCTAATATTTTTACATTATTAAACTTCTGCTGAGTAGATATACCTAATGGTCAGTCCCTCACTGTCATCTTCTTTTGAGTACATAAATATTACACCATGAACTTTGAGGAAATAACTGGCTTGTACGAGTAGAATAGATTATTTTTTTCCCTTTCAGAGTGTGCGTTTTATCAATATGATCCATTGTGATATATCCAAATCCTTAAAAAAGAGCAGCTATCAAGAGTGTTTCTGAATGAGAGACCATTTACCTATGACAATTAATTTCAGGCAATTCCAGTTTATTCTTTCATTTTACCTGCTCATAGACTATGTACCAGCCATACACAGATTTAGCTTACTTCAAAGCTCAATGATTAAATCCTGCTGCAGACGCTGAATTCTACACTTACTGTCTTTCCCCAATCATCAAAGCAAGGTTTCTTAGTTTGCTTTTTTTCCCCCCCATGCAAATACTATGTAAATAAACTTTTCAGCTTTTTCATTTATTTTTTTTATGTTGTCACTGAGCCTATTTCAAGATATATCAGTATCTTTTTTATATTGTATGTTGAAATACATAAATGTCATATTGCTTACAAGCCTATATTTTAAATGTAAAAAATGCAGAAGCTTTTTTTAAAATAAGAATTTTACTTAAATCACTGGAACTATACATTTTCATGCCTTCTACATCCAAAGATCAATATTACTTCAGAAAGATACAGAATTTATCCAAGTGTAGAGCTGAGGGAATGAGGAATTCCATGGCATTCAAGGCCATGGAAATATTGTGCTAAAAGCTAAACTAAAATTGTTAACACAGTCAGACTGATGACTGTCAGCTGATTATCCTATTTAGCATTGTAACTGCTGTGTTCAAATCTGTTAGGATTGCAAAGCTTCCAGCTGCTTAGAATCTGAAGATAAATTAAGTAATATTTGGAAGACCAGCACCACTGCTACATGTGAGTCCTCTTCCTGGAATAATGTGGAGTATAAATTGCGTTGCTCTCTGCTGCCTTAGACTTGGCATGCTCTGATTTTTTGTAGACAGTGTGCATGCCAAGTCTGGTCAGCATTAGACAGCTACAAAAAGTTCAAATTAGAGACATAATTTCAAGAAATGCAGTCATTAAATGTCTGAAGCATTTGAACTTCGGGACTTATTTTGGTGAGATTATGTAAATGATGGCTGTAAATAAAATATTTCTTAGTAATGTTCAGCAAGAAAAGCTACTTCTCTCCTAAGCTAAATATTCTTATGAGAATGTCAAACTCACATGATCGATTTATGAAGTGACACAGTAGCTGGATGTGTGATTCTTTCTCTTTTATTCTGAATAAATTGAGAAAAAAACCCCACAGATATAAAGAGAAAATTGTTTGAAATACAGGTTTTTTTCATAAAGACTGTATCTAAGCTTAGTAGCTAATTGTGCTCTGACAGTAGTTCATCATGGTCTACTCCTGTCACTGTTTGGAATAACAGATATTTTTCTGCATTATATAGGAAGAAGTAGTAGTCCATCTTTGCAAAATATGTGGAGAATGGGGTTTTTCATCTCAGTTCCTTATTTGTGGTGATCTTATACATGCAACTTTCCCTTGGAATGTTCTTTGACTCATCAAAATGTGAAACTGGGATTCTCCCAAGGTAATAGTTTAATTAAATTTTGCAAAGCACTTTCACATTTCAAAAATCAGTTGAAGTAAGTTCAGTTACCTTCAGAGAAGTTGCAAGAACCATTGTATATTTCTGAACTTATTTTGCAAATATTTTCACACAATGATGCTGAACATTCATGTTTTAGAAAAGGTGCGACTCTTTTCTGTACATAGATTGCTTTTCTTCTTCTCCTCCACCTTTCCCTTCAGACTGCTAGGCCTGAGGAATTACAATTTTGCATCTAATTAATTCTACTGTTGCTTGACTGCATCTGTTTGAAATATGTATAAAACCTCTGATACAGGTAGAAAAACATTGATTGTTTTCCTACGTTTCTATTTATTGTGCAGAACTGTGAGATGTTTTGTATTAAAAATATTGGATCATTGAATGTTAGTGTGTTTTTTCCTTAAGTAGGCATTTTTAAGATATGCTGTATCTGTTAAGTAAGCTTTTTTTAGTATTTTGGTCTCTTTATTTTCTCTCCTGACTTTCTAAATATTAAAAGGTAGCATATACATCAAGCATAAAAAAATGAATACTAGAGACAGACGTCTGAATTGCTTTTATTAGTATATAGATTAGTGTGCTGAGACTGACACGGGAACCAAGAGGTTCTCCACTCATGCTCTGCACAGTTTTCCATGAATCCTGTATTTTGAATGTAACCTTTCAACCTACTGAAACTGGGCTCTTAGTTACAGCTTTTAACATCTCTACACAAATGGAATCCATTCTGCTTGAGGAAATGTACCTGTGTTATTACATTTGATTCTAGATTCACTAGTGACTGGAAAATAGGAGATGTATCAGAGAAAGTGAGAGAAAGAGAGAGGAGTGATAGTGATTTTCTGCTATCCCAAGAGCCTTTATCCTTAAGACCATTTCTAAGGGCAGTTTGTCTCCACAATCTTCCAACCAGTACAACTGATGCATATATCTGGTCATTATAAATTACCTTTTTTTTCTTTTACAATTTTTTTTTTGACACAGAATTTCACTACTAATCTAAATAAATGGCTGTATCTACCATTGCTGTTAATCTTTCCCAGAAGGTATTTAATGCTATACACACACACACACACACACACACACAATTTTTTCATAATCTTAGTGTTTAGTTTGCATGAGAAGTCATGCCAATATTATTGTTTTTATAAGGATTTCATGGTGTAATAGTTTCATGTAAATCTGTTGGTATGTAATATATGCCAAATAGTAAACTCCTCCTTTTTCAAATAACAGACAAATAGTTGGCATTCATAATCATTAGAGAATGTTTGATATTTCCATGTATTTGTTTACAGAATACAGTATGCATATAAGGAGGGCTTTTCCTTGGTATAATTTTATTTTGATATTTTAATTGTCACCAGTTCCCTTAAATTTTTTCTTGTACTTAAGCCTGTCAGACAATGGCTCAGTTTCACCGTACTGATGAAATTGATCCTTTAGCACTGTTTTAGCCACTTAAATGCATACTCATTTCCAGAGAGAACTTCCACATCATTTTCTGAAACATTCTGTCTGCTTTCTGTAACAATCCTGATTATGTTCTTTTCCTATTAAAAAAAAAAAAAAAAAAAAGTAATTTTTCACCCTGCTCTAAGAATTTCACATACACATACTTGTATTTGTTGTAAGATTGTCTTCATCCTTGTCTAAAATCAGGTCATTTAATAACAAGAGTTGGCAGCACTTCAAAGTCATACATCCAGGATTTTGAAAATTACAAGGATTCTCCACTCCTGTCTTTTGAAGTTCCATTTTATTAATCAGAGAAAAAGCCATTTTGGCCAAAGTTACTTAATCATTTCAGTGATTTGGTATAACTTGAAACAGGCAAAATCTGTATTTCTCATTAGGATAAAATCTTTGATATTGATGTATGTAATGAATTAATAATGTACACTATAATATTTCTGTATTAGACAGACAGAGGTCAAGAATTTATGAATAAACCAAATTAACACAATGCAGTATATGTTGCAGAGGCATAAAAAGAGCACTGCTCAAAACCCGTCCATCCAATCCATATTGAACATGCATTTCAATATATTTGCACTTATGTTGTTCATATAAACCACATTATTGGTTTTTTTCTGTATGAAGATACAAATTAAACAAGGTCCTAGAATTCCAATTCTACTTATTCTAATAATTTTTAAGAAAACAAATGGTTTCTTACACTTAAGTAGATGGGAGGTTTTGTGTTTGTTTTTTTTTTCTTTCGCCATCCATTATGTCAGACAATAATACTTGAATTGTAAGTTGTCCTGTTAAGAATTCAATAAAATTTCACTATTTGTTCTCATTGTTATTGGGCAGAGTCTCTACTGAGTTTTAGATATCAGAATAAAGCAGGCAGCCAGGACAGAAGGGATTAGAATCTGAAGTACTAGTTAGTACATGGTATTCCTGGAATGATGGCTCATGCTGCTGTTCCAAGGCATGGGATGTTATGGATTGAAGAATACGGGATGATGACACTAGGAGATTAGAGAGGGTGCAGGAGGAGGAACTGAAGCATAAAGAACTCTGGATATATTTGTTATGCCATAAATATACTCAATGCATGTTTCTAAACAAGTCAGGAATAGATTTAAATCTTTTTGGTGCAAAAGTGATGTGCAATTTTAAGACAAGAAAATAAACTTATTAAAAGACTGAAATACCTGTTCAGGGATGAGAATTTTTCTGCAGGTGTGGGGGAAATAAAGGGAAAATAAAGTTGTCTTATGCATGATAACTCTTTGCTTTTTAGTTTTTCAAGTGCAAATGTACTGGTAACAATTGCTTCAGCAGCAAGCTGTGATGTATTTCCTACTCACTTTTTGCATTATACAGTTCATGTTCTCCTCATGTACCTGTAGGTTACCCATACATCTTCATGAACATGTTTCTGACAATACTGCAGAAAAATATTCATCCTTTGAGAGAAGAGCAGAAAGAAATACAAACATGTAGTTGGCCAGCCTGTATCCTCATTGTTAGTCCTTAGAACTTAGAGTTAGGTTGTCAGATGTCAAAGCCAATCAGACGTTACTTCTGAGAACATTGTTGGTAAAGTGTTTCATTGATTGTTAGCTATGATTTCTGGTGATTTTCCAGCCTTTCCAAATAAAGGAGCAGCCTGAACAGGAGGCTGTTACTCATTGCTTTGCTCCATGAAGGTCTTCACTGGTATGAGCCTTCCCCACTCAGATGAATTGAGACTAAAATAAGTGATATTAACACTAGTTCCACTCAACAGCTTGGGTTATTCACTAAAATCCAGCAGTTTATGAAAGCTCGTGAAAGGTTTAAACAAAAGCTATTGTTTATTACCATACACAAAGTCACAGATTAAGAAATGAAACAGTAGCTGAAAGCAAAGGTTGTTTCATTCAAAGCAGGGAGCAGGGTCAGTTTGCATACTAGATGTAGTGAATAGCTTTCAGTTCTAATTAATGTATTAACTTAGCAAATAGATGACTTCCAACCTTTAATTTCCTTTAAAAATTGAATGGTTTCAAGTTCCTTTCCGAATACATTTCTACAGAAGCTCTTGCAGGTTGCTTCATACAAATCTATACTAGTGTTCTATATGGGGTAAATGAAGCAGAAGGCAGGTTGCATTTATCCTATGACAAGATGAAAAGCTGATTACGCAGATGAGTGCAGATGAAGTGGAAACCTCTCAGAGATTAGGTTTTGCTCTCACTGTGCCCTACATTGCAGCCCAGCCTGACATAATCATTTCATGTTGGTTGCTTTCTGTGAACTCTTGTTTCCACATAAATCATGTGCTTGCAAAATGAAGTTACTAAGAAAGTAATTGTTAATCTTTGTCTGAAAGTACTAAACATCAGAAGAGCAAGATTTTCAGCCAGGGTTTTTTCCATTCCCTTGTCTGCAGACGTGTCTCAGTATGCAGAGTATGAGCTAGTACTTGTATAGGTGACTCAGTATGCAGAGTATGAGCTAGTACTTGTATAGGTGACTAGCTGATGGTCAAAAATTTTAGGTAAAAACTCATTTTGTTAAGTTTTCAAAAGGAAAGGAACATGTGAGTAATCTAAAGTGTTAAGAATCTGGTAGTCTCTAGTATTTCAAACAGAGATGGAAGTTTTCTGTTTGAGTTCAGTAAGACTGGTAGTCTCTAGTATTTCAAACAGAGATGGAAGTTTTCTGTTTGAGTTCAGTAAGATCATAATTATTTATGAAAGATCTACATGTTGAGATAGTAAAAAGTTTAATAAACTAATTCATGAAGCAGAATGAAATGGGACATTTTTGGGAGGCTACAAGTTACAGTGAGAAAAGGTATTTTGTTGCAATATTTGAATACACAGACAAGGGTCTTACATGCCTTTGGAGATTACAAGTTGTGTCCTGTTACTAGAAATATTTTAACCCGAACTCTGTTCATTCAGAATTGTCGCTATGGTTTTTACCTGAGTCAGTTATTACAAAAGCTTTTTTCTTCGCTTATGGTGCCTTTCTGAACGGAGAACTTTCAGGGAAGAGTGGCAGGAAGATTACTTGCAGTAAAGTGAGGTTCAGACCAATGAACTAGGTCCTTGCTCCTAAAATTGTGTCCCTTGAAATAGCAAGGTATTTTACGAGGTGGTTTAGGACTGCAGCTTGTATTCTGATTTTCCTCTTCTAGCAGGGTTAGGAGTACTGGAGAGGATTTCTTGTCCTCTAATGTCGCCGTTCAGAGTTATGTCTGGCTTGCTCGAGGGCTGTACTGCAATTACGGTGGTGAGCGGTACGACATGATTGGCAGCGATGCTCATCCAGGAGGAGAACAGATTTGATGGATTATGCAACGGCAGTTGACGAAAATAAGCAGGCTGCTGCCGCCGTGCTGCCTTAGGCTCCCTCAGCCCCACGCTTTGCCGGAGGGTCTGTTTCTGACACCTCGAGGGGCAGGAATCCCGGCCCCGGGAGCGGCGCTCCCGCTGCGCTCCCGCGCGGAGACGGGCCACGGCCGCCGCCGGATCGCGCGNATAGCGCGGGGTGGCCGCAGCCCCGCAGCCCCCGGCATCCCGTGTCCTCGCCGGCATCTGGAACTGCAGCAGGAGCGTCGCCACCTCGCGCGCTGCTTCTCGCAAGGTAATATTCTTTCGTTCGCTTGCCCCCAGCGCTCTGCCCATCTGCTCGGTTCCCGCAGTGGCTCTGTCGCAGTCGAGTGGATTACAAAATAAAACCACTAACTCAAGACTGCAGGGATTGGATCTGTTTGGTTGTCATTAGCATCTCGTCTTCTCTCTGGCTGCTTATTTATAAATAGCTTCTGTGGGATCACGAGAGCTGGGATCTCTTAGTTTCTCTTGCGGTCCGAAGAAAGTCCGGAGATTTCCTCCCTCCCCCTTTCATGACAGCGCTATTAAAGTAAATTTAACTAGATTACTTCCCCCCGCCCCAAAATGACTCTTGAAACTATCCTCGATTTCTTCTAGTCTAGTGTGCGGGATAGTGAAGCGGGAATGCAGATTGTTATAGTTCCTTAGCGTTTGATGTGTGCAAATACCGTCGGGCACGCAGGAGGGCAGATGAGTGGGAAGCACGTGATTAATATTTACAGCGTTCGGACAATCTGTTACTCTGTGTTGTGAAGCTTAGAGGGGTCACCATTGCAGATGAGGCTGATGAGCTGTTACCCTGAGTTAGAATGCATTTGTATGCTGACATTTGCTAATGTCTTTTACACGTAGGAAAAAGGAAAATACTGCCATTCTGGAGAAACCCTTCTCTTGCTGCTTTGCACAGCGTCCTTTCTTGAGCTGCGATGTTAAGTCACATCATCATACAACAGACAGAGAGTTGGTCTGAGAAATGTATATATTTAGTCCTTCCGGCTGTCCCACAATCTTGTCTTGTGATACTTGTTTTCTCAAGTGTGTAGCAGGAATTATAATGAGTTCTTTTCTTGTAGCTTCACAGAAAATCAACCAATTTTAAAAAATTGCTGAGAAATTACAGAGGAAAGAATTTTGAATAAGTTCCGAATTTTAGTTATTTTTTTTACACCCATCCTTTGAATCACTCACGATGGCTTAATGATCATTTCACTCGTAGAAATATCTTGTGCAGGTGTTATCCTTAAGCTATTATGTATACATTTTAAGATATCTTTACAATTATATCAGTAGTATTCCTGTGAAGTTTAGGTAAATCACTTCCACATAATGTTGTGAAACTTTTATATTTCAGGTAGCTTGGACTGTGCCAGCAGGTGAATTGGCTTGTTCTGGTACATTTCAGCAGAAGCAGTTCAGCAACTCTGGGTTAAATGGAGAGTGAAAGAAAGAACTGCTTTTTGGTGTTACAATAAAAAAAGAAACTGTCCACGCATAACATCATTAACTTAATTTGAAGGACTGTAGATAAAAAGTTGCGGTTTGGTATGAAATCAAACATGTGAGCAATAGAAATAATTTTTCACCTGAGTTGAACCTATCTCACTAAAAGTCAAGTAGCACGGACATGCACGTTCCTGCATGGTTTTTTAATGGATGTATGTGTAAGGGGTACAGCTACATGGGCATAGGTGACTTAATCATGTAGTAAGTAATAAACAATGGGATAATGTTTCTCTAATATTTTTCATCTTAAGAATATAGGATTGAAGTAGAGGCATGGGTAAAAAGATTATTATCTCTGTAGAAATTTTCTTACATAGACAGGTATTTCCAGGAAATTGGAACTTTCCCTTTCAATTTCTGTTTTCAGATTTTCATATCTGTAAAGTGAAAGCTAAAGGCAAATACCAAGTAGAAAATTGGGAAATGGCTGTGTTTCAAAATAAATTCCAAGGTGATGAATGTCACCTTTATACTGACATTTGTCAGGATATAAAAAGGTGGTGAAGAAACCATTCTGCCTGGGATATGAAGAACTACTTGGGAGGGGGTTTGTGGTTTTGGTATTTCAGTGGGGGTTTTGGAGTTGTTGTTGTTGTGTTTTGTTTGTTTATGTTTACCTGAGAAAAGACCTAGGGCCTTCACACTGTCATTTAACAAGGTCATCCTTTGTGCAGCTTTGATCCTGCTTTAACTAGCACTCATAAAATACTTGAAAATGGAGCCAAAAGTCAAAAGCAGCCTTTGCAAATAAATCCAAATAATACTTTCCAGACAGTGGTCAAGAGTAGGAAAGAAAAAGCAAGATCACAGAGGTCTTCATTCATTAAGGCTCGAGGGTTGGATGGCTTTTTGCTCCTATAGTATAGTATTTAAGAACTGAATGAGTTCTCTTCTTAGAAAAAACCAGCTTTACTATATGCCTTTGAGTTGCTGTTTACAAAAATTAGTTTGCATCCCTTTCTCCACCCAGTCTTCCTGGAATCTAAGTCGGTCAGGTTTTAATTTTTCTTTAGCTATTTTGGCATGAAATAAGTTCCTCTTTTAGCTTAGATGTCATATGACTTACAAATATATATAATCTGAATGTATATTCCATTAGGTTTTAGGTATCAGGAGGAGTACCAAGATGCAGGAAACTGGCCAGCATGGAATAATCAAATTGACTCAGTGTAATCCAAACCTTAACCAAGTGTAAATTGTTTCTACTGTTTCAGCATATTTTATGTATTTATGAATTATTCCTTGATGAAAACCTTTCTTTTTTTAGTAAATAATCATGTCATGGCTATAATTTCTAGTTGTGACCATTAATGTTTATTTCTCCATACATGGAGACAGTAGGAGCAAAGACTGCTATAATATTTTAATGACAAAGCTCAAGTTGGTTCTTGATTTTTTTATTTTTTTTTTGTAAATGCAGTTTTATGTCTAATGGCCAGAGATAGTTCAAACCTCTCCTGAGACAGTGGAGCCTATAGAACTTAGATCTGCCTGTAATGAGAAACCCAGGGAAAGTATTCTTTTTGCCATGATCATTTCGTCTTATGCAATTTCATTGCATGTTTCCAGAGTAATATTTGTGATTTTTCTTGCCTCTAAGTGTTGCCAGTCTAGAGATACAGTATGTATAGCTAGATATGCAGTATGTATATTCCGGCTGAGAAGATGGAAAGAAAGTCACTGTCTCCTAGTCAGGCAGGTACTAGCATTCCTTCTCTTTCCATGGAAGATTGAACCTCCAGTCATTACTTTGGACATTCAGCTTGACTTCAAATCCAGTTCTACGGGGCAATAATGAGGTCTGATTATGTCCACAAGACCATATACACTTTGTTGAGTTGGGCCCTTAGAAAATTGCAATAGACCTTGAAATTCTTAATATTGAATTGCGTCTATCCTCCATTTAAAGAGCCATCAAGTCTTATAGATTCATTTAAATGGCACTACTGAAATCTTGAAGTAAAATGAGCAATTCTTACATCAAAATTTAAGTTGGTATTTTTCTCATTATCTTGATCCTGTTGTATTTTAAGCTTATTGTATTGAAATACTGTGTTCTTCATGTTTTAATCTTATTGCTGCTTTTCTCAATGAGGATTGTATTGTTGCTGAAGTCAGAACTTCATGGAGGATTTATGTAACCTGTTTAAACTTGAACTAATTTGAGTTTATCATTATTTTAAAATATTTTTATTGGTAAAAGTGCATTTGCTGTTGACAGACTTGCTGAATTTAATAAAAATTCTGTATTAAATGTTCCATGATAGGGAGCAGACCAAAAAAATGATAATGACATATAAGCAATTAACCATTTTCAAGACTTTTAAAAATGTTAATGATATGCACTTGGGACTGATAAAACAGATTAAATGTATATCTAAAACCCAGTGCTTACTTTAACAGGCCTTTTGTAAACCTATGATTTCTCCTAGCAATTTGGTTTATATTTTTTTTGTTGGTTGTAGTCATATGTTGAAACCATGAAATACTACTAGAAAAAAGTTGGAATGAAGAAGAACAAGGCAACCACAGTTCTCTGATGTAATATTTTCTTCTTTGAGGTGTTCATATTATCATCACAAGTCATTACATCCCATTTTATCTAGTACAGCCAAGGTTTTCAAAACTTGAATTATTGTTAGAATTTTTGAAACAACCCAATATTCCTTAAGGGTAAAGTAATTTCAAGACCACTAAAATTTTTGAAGGGAGAAAAGTTAAAAGTATTATTGAGCTTATTCTAAACCATTGCATAATTTTTGAAAAAACATGCAAAATTAAAAATAGGTTTGTTAACTTGTCAAATATATTGCTTTACAAAATTGTTCTTGATTCTTAAGAACTTAATGTGAGACAGAGTGTTTGACCTTTAATTACAGAAAGATATATTCCAAACCTGCTGTATTTTGTGAAGGAGTTCTTCTATAGTTATAAAATGTTATGGGAGGGGGTTTAATTGCTGTTATTATTCTTTAAATTCAATTTCTCTCTTGTTTTTACCACTGAAGTTTCCTTATGATTTGCACCTCCTTTTATGATTAGTCCAAAGTTTTTGCAGCTGTATTTTCTTCCCTTGCTCTTGAAATAGCTCAAACATTTGCTGCAATGTAGCCTTTTAGTTTCTTTCTTTGCTTTCCCTAAATACTGTGTTGAGTTTAAAGTTCAGAATATATGGCCAGATATATCTCTGAAAGTGATGTTTGGTGAAAGACCTCTGATCTAAATGACTGTATACTAAATGCCTCATTTAAATATCATCATGACACTAAGAAGCATGGGCATTCAATAATGAAATAAATAAATATGTTCTTTCTTGGTTTGGGGAAATGAAAGATGTTATTAATATGGTACAGAACAAGATGCAGCTCTTGCTGAATAGTTGGCTCTTTGAACAAGCAAAATTAAAGCTTTTGGATGAAGATTAAGAAGAAGATGATCCTTTAATTTAGAAAATACTTCTTTAATTCACATTGTTTTCCTGTAGAAATACCCTATACTTGCTGCCAGAAGTGGAAACAAGTTACTGTGTATCCAGTAAAACTTAGCCATTGATAAAGTATTGAGAAAAAATGTTTTATTGTAAGGGGTATTATCTATCTGGGTTAAAACTGGAAAAAGTCATGTGCTCGTTTAT